TATTTTTGTAGGTATTTGGTCAAAAACCAAAGAATAGGACAAACTTTAAGTTTGACCTGATGAATGAGTTACATAAAAAGTAGGATGAAAGTAACTGAGATTCGTCCTCTGGAGATCATGGCTGTCAAAATTTTGTCCCAGTCCATTTGGTTGATGTCTCGATATTTCAAAGTGAAAACTCTGACCTGCTGATGGAGTTAGAGGAAAAGTCAGTGTGCCACCAAAGTCATCATCCTCTGGAGACCATGAACATCTGTATCAATCCAGTGTACAGCTGGTGACACATTTCACTCAAAACCAAAAAGGTCAACTTCATGGAAAAAGGTCAACCTCGTGGTGGCACTAAAGGCCAGTTGATAACTAAAGTCATTCAGAGACATCATCTGGGGAGCATGTTTGTCTATGCAAAACTTCATGGCAATCCAATAGATGACGAGATATTAGTGGTGGATCCATTGAATGACATCGCCCTAGCCAGAACCACAGCACCAGCACTTAGTTAGCATTGTAGTTCAATGGTTAGCACATGTGTCTTCCAATTTAAAGATTGTAGATTAAAAACCTGATTGGACAAGGCTTTATACAAGTGTTGTCTGTGTTAAGTTTTGTTATCTAGAACCAAAAATAGCAGTAATCTTATTTAAAGTAACTGTATCTTGTTGTAACACTTTTGGTATATGGACATCCTGATTTTTTTTTTTTTTAAATCTGAAAACCACTTACTCAATTCAATCAATCAATTTTATTTATAAAGCCCAATATCACAAATCACAATTTGCCTCACAGGGCTTTACAGCACACAACATCCCTCTGTCCTTTGGACCCTCACAGTGGATAAGGAAAAACTCCCCCAAAAAAACCCTTTAACGGGGGAAAAAACGGTAGAAACCTCAGGACTGCACTGAAAGCCATATTTACTTGTTTCAAGCCAAAAAAAAAGCTCATATCTAAAATGTTTTACTTAAATATGCAGTGAAGTTTGTTACATCTATCAGTAAAAGTAAAAACCCAGTTATTTCATGAACTGATTTAACTTTTGCATCAACCCAGACAGGCAAACACACTCTCACACCCATATTCATACACTCACAGACTTAGCTATGGTCTGTGTTATTGTACGCAAAAGCCCTTGAGACAGACTCACCCTGTAAAATACACACATATTCTGATAGGATTGTGTAGTTGTAGCTTTCTGTTTGTTCGTATTACTCATGTTCCTCTTGGATTGGCTGTGTTAAACAGAGGACCAGCTAAACTGAACTGAACTGCACTTCCCCCAATCAGTTTATGACTGCACAACCTAGAACTGGATGAAAAATAAACACTGAGCTTTCTATTTACTTGGAAGCTAAATTGTGCACAAGCAATACCACAATCAACTGCAAAGTGTCCATAATATTTTTAGGTGAACACTTTTTCCTGTAATATCATAGACACTGGGCAAAATTTCATCATTTTCTCAGACATAAAATGTGGTCAGGTTGACCTCTGAGAGGCAAGCTAGGAAGTTAGGAGTCTGGACAGAAGAGGGGAAAAAAAGACAATAAATTTCAGGCTTGACCTTTCACCCCTGGATCCCTCTGTACACACTCCGCTCATTACCAGCTCAACTTCCCAAACCACCCAAACTGCTTCACCCTTCTGTGGAAAGTCATTCATTTCAACCACTGCTTTAGAACAGTATGGGGAAAATTTGGGGTCATCATGATCTGAAAGGTCTAAAAAATGTTCGGCTTTCACCATACCCATGATGATCCTTCCTATGCTTCAAGGTTCAACTGGGCCCTCTTGTGGAGAAAAAGAAACAGTACACTATCAAATGAGGCATTCAATTCAAGCCAACTTTATTGGCATCAGCGAAAGAAGTTCCGAATGTTACATCAAGAATGCTGACTAAAACTTGAAACTAGACCATAATACATCAGTCTGTTGGTTACCTACTCAGATTAGATCAGACTTGTAAAGTACCCTAGATGACTTCTAAAATTATAAATGTCATGTCACTTCATACCTGTCTGACCTCCTCCTGTTGCCTGCTCTTAGAATTTTGATTATGAGGCTCCTGTCTGTCCCCACTGCTAGAAAGAATTCAGCAGGTCGCAGGGTCTCAGCGTAGTCGTTTTGTGCCTCTTTGTGGACATTTTTATTCTCTGTGTAGTCTTTATGTGTGTCTTTGTAGTCATTTTCTATCTCTTCATGGTTGTTAAGTTCCTTTTGTAGTCATCTCATGTCTCTTTTTGGTCATTTTGCTTCTCTTTATTGTTGTTATATGTGTCTTGGGGGTCATTTTTTGTCTCCTTATAGACATTTAGCACCCCTTTATGTTCATTTTGTGTCTCCTTGTAGTTGTTATGCGTGCCTTTGAGGTCATTTTGTGTCTCCTTATAGTTACTTAGCACTTCATTGTGGTCATTTTGCTTCTCTTTTTAGTTATTTTGTGTTGGTTTCTGGTCATTCTGTGTCTTAGTATACTCATTTTACATCTCTTTGTGGTTACTTTGCGTCGATGTGTGGTTAGCTTTTATTCTGTCTCTTTGTAGTCACGTTGCACATCTTTGTGGCTAATTCCTGTCTCTTTGTGGTCATTTTGCATCTCTTTTTCTTCATTTTGTGTCTGTTTCTGCATATTTTTTGTCTCTTTATAGTCTTTTTGCATTTTTTGTAGTTGTTTTGTGTCTACATGTGGTTGTTTTACGGGCCTTTGCAATTATTTTGTGTCTGTTCCTGGTCATTTTGTCTCTCTTTGTAGTCATTTTGCTCTCTGTGGTTGTTTTTTGTCTATTGTTGGTTCTTTTGCATGCCTCTGCATTTTTGTTTCTCTTTGTTGTCATTTTTGCATATCTTTGTGGCCCTTCACTGTCTCTTTCTAATTATTTTGAGTGGGTTTGTGGTCGTGTTACATCTTTTTTAGTCATTTTGTGTCTGTGGTAATTTTGTGTCTCTTTGTAGTCAATTTGCATACTTTTTTGGTTGTCTTTGTGGTTCTTTTGCATGCCTTTGCAGTTTTTTGTGTCTCTTTGTAGTTGTTTGTGTATCTTTGTGGCCCTTCACTGTCCCTTTGTAGTCACTTTGTTCCTGCTACTGATCATTTACTGTGTCTTAGTAGTCCTTATGCATGTCTTTGTGGTTGTTTTGTGTCTATTGTTTGTTTTTTTGCGCGCCTTTGCAGTTATTGTGTTTGTCTTAATCATCATTTTGCGTGTCTGTGGCCATTTACTGTTTCTTTCTAGTCATTTTGTGTCTGTTTGTGGTAATTTACTGTGTATTAGTAGTCATTTTGCATCTGTTTCTGGTTGTTTTTGTCTATTTGTGGTTCTTTTGCATGCTTTTACAGTTTTTCGTTGTCTCTTTGTAGCTGTTTTGCATGTCTTTGAGGTAATTTATTATCTCGTAGTAGTCATTTTGTATCTCTTTGTGGTTGTGTTGCGTCTCTGTGGTTGTGTTGCTTTTCTTTGTGGTAGTTTTGTCATTCATACTGGACATTACATGTTGCCAGTTCAGACAGGAGTTTGGGCATAAGGCCCCGGTGTCCGGTAGGCCCATACAGTAATCAATCCATGGTCTCAGTGTATCTATTAAGCCGTAGTAATTAAAATAGATGTCTTCCTGTTGACGAGAATATTGTTAACACTACATCTCTCTAATCCTCTGTTTGTTTATCATCCAACAACCACAGGCACACGTGTCCATGCTGTAAGTGTATATCTCTCTCTCTCTTATCTGTTTTCACCTTCTTTGTTCTCTCTTTTCAGTACCGTCTGCCAGCCTGGGACCTCTCTCCGTCTGGCTTCCCTCCAGAATTCTTGGATCTGGATCTAATCTGGTCTAGTCTGATCTGGACCTCCAAGGTTCAGATTCAGCCTTACCTCTTACCTCCTTCCTCTGTGTGACTGGTGTGCTTGAGCGACGCATGTTTGTGTAGTTTGTTCACTTTCCAGGTCCTCAGGTGGAGAGGAAGTCATGTGACCCAGGTCCCATCTGTATGACCGCACCTGGAAGTTTGTCGGCTTCTTCTTATGTCCATACAATGTCTCCACATTGTAGATCTATTATTATGGTTTGTGTCTATAAAGGCACCTATTGTATTCATTGGTGTAGATATTAGCTTGTGACAGCAGGGAGTGGCACTTTGAAGGAGGAGAAAGAGGATGACAATTAAGCTGACGATGATGATGCTGCGTCAGCCCCGCCAGGCCGGTTATAAGGAATCTGGTTCAGGAATCAGGAAATGGCGTTTTTCACATTAAGCATGCATCATGTCTGGTTTCAGAGACAATACACGTGCCATTGCTATTGTCTGGTGTTTTTCATCGAATTTACACACCAGTGCCACTGTCATCGGGTACGCCGCACCCTGCATTATGGTCCATTTCACACACACACACACACACACACATAGCCATCTATATGTACTGTATATTTACTGTATGTGCTTTAGCCTATGTACAAAAACAGAATTCAAGATATGATATTTTATTGCAAATTAAAGCAAAAGTCTATAATGATTATTACACTCCAGGTGTTTGATCACAACCTCTGGGTCGAGCATCCGTACATTTCTTTAGTGGGGATGTTAAAGTTTGGGATACAGTAGGTCCTTTGTACTGTTTATTACATTTCCACACTCTGAGGGTCATGCATCATGCCATTGTTTTCAGTTTATTTATAAATATGAATTAAATAATCATCATTTTTATCACCATGTCTCCCTAACTTGTGATTTAAATGTGCCATTGCAGGCTTCTACATTCAGTGTTTGTGTTTCCCAATCGGTTTTGTCCCTCTATCCCCACAGGGCTTTATGGGGCCGGTTTAGCCGGTTATGTGGGATTTCAGCAGAACAGGAATATCAAGGGAGAACTTGCCCAGGCGTCACTGTTTGTGTTCCTTAAGGGGACGACAGCTCCGACCGGTTTTCTGGGGTGGAGAGATGAGAGAGGGGAGGGTGTGGGGCGTTCTCCCTAGCCTTATTCTCCTCTCTTTCTCTTCATTATCATGCATTCTCTCCTTCTGCCTCTGTATCACTCCGTCCATCTCTGAAGTCTGAACGAGGGAACAACTGAAGGAGTCCTCTGCTGTATGAGGTGAGTTACCTTTGATTAAGTTCTGAGCTGTTGCCCGAGGGCCAGAATAGATTGGCTAACAGGTGGGTAGAGTAGGTACAGGTATGTGCAGCTGGGAGTCAGGGCATGAACTGAGCAGACATACAGGAAATGATCATGGCCTTATCAGGCCTTTCGTGGTCACTATAGAGTGTATGTGTGTGGGTTGGTGTTGGTATCTTAAGGTCAGTTTACCACAGTTTCTTCATACCATGTGGTTTTAAAATATATTCAAATATAAATAGAATGATGTCTAAATAAATGAAAATAAAGCTCCTTGTCAATAATAAGATAAAGAATTAATTAAGAAAACACAATGTGCAATTTTACATATGGTCAGGGTTCATAGTGTGGGCATTAGAGGCAAGATATGTCATTATAAGCGTGCGTGCGTGTGTGTGTGTGTGTGAGAGAGAGAGAGAGAGAGAGAGAGTGTGCGCACGCGTGTGTGTGTGTGTGTGTGTGTGTGTAGGGTGGAGCTCATACACAAGTGTAACAGACTGTCGTTCCTCATTTATCGTTATTTGCATAAAAGCTATATTCTCTCAGTACACATTTTTCTGTGGTTGTCAGCTAAAATAAATGAGTGACAAGTTCACTCAGCGTCGCTCTCCACTGGCAGTCATTCCAGTCACATTATTAATCACATGAGCTGACAATGAGAAGCAACGGGTGTTTTGAAAGCAAAGCAGCTCAGACAATAGCCTTCAATGACATGTTTTTAGACCCTGACTGCATCATTTTTTGGTTTGAAGAGCATCAGCTGATATTGTGTGAGAGCAGTGAATGAAGTCTGAACAACAAAACTTTCTCTCACAATTCAAGCTTGGTTTCGATCAAACAACAAACCTCCCAGTGGATGGGAGGTGTTTGAGAAAGGCTTACATTAAGCTGCAGCCGTGAGATTATACAGCCAGGTTATCTACACAGTCTGTACCTCTGTGGGTGTGTAGCATCCAGGACTGCTTTTTACCTCATAATGTGGTAATGCTGGTGTGCATATGTATGTGTATGTGCATGTGCAGGTACGCATGTTTACCATGTTCATCCTCTTAGTTTACTGTATTAGCATGCTAATAGTAGCAGCATGCTACTGAACACAAAGTACAGCTGATGTTGATGGGAATGTCATTCATTTTAAAGGTATTTGGTGATAAGTCAGTGTGCTAGACAAATTATATTTTGACCTGATTATGGTGCTAAATGAAATGTTAGGATACCATAAACCATAAATGCCTATTTCATGTTGGCACTAGAGGTAGTAGGATTCATCTTCTGGGAACCATGAAAGTCTGTACAAAGGTTTGTGCAAATCTTTCTCATAGATGTTGATATACTTCACCTCCTAGGTTAAAATTTTGACTTTCTGGTGACATTACAGAAAACGTTAAGAAATCACTTAGTCATTAGGATTCATCCTCTGGGGACCATGAATGCAGGCCATCTTGTAGGGAGCATGAATATGTGTACCACATCAAACTAAATTAGTTGTCCAAACATTTCACTCAAAACCGTAAATGCTAATTGTTTGTAAGCACCAGAGTTAGTGGGATTCATCCTCTGGGAATCATGAATGTGTGTTAGGTTTGTGCAAGTTCATCTTGTAGATATTTATATACTTCACTTCATAAGTAAAAACTTTGACTTTCTGGTGATGCTGGAGGAAAGGTCAGGGAAATCTTAAGTTACTAGGATTCATCATCTGGGGACCATGAATATCTGTACTATATTCCATGGCAATCCATACAATAGTTCTTAAGACATTTTACTCAAGACCTTAAATGGCAATTTAATGTTGGCACGAGATTCATTATCTTGAAACCATGAATATCTGTTCAAATGTGTGTCTCATTTTATCAGTAAAAACTCTGACTTTCTGTTGACGGTAGAGGAAAAGTCAGGAAAACACTTAAGTTACTAGTGTGTGTTTTGTGTGTGTGTGCATGTGAGTAATGATCTAGAGACAGCAGAGCGGGCACATAAAGGCAGACAGGTCTTTTCTTGCTCTGCTGAGGTGATCCAAACAGCCACTTTCCTGACGTATCCTGACATGTCGAGAGAGCCTGATCCACACTGATCAACATGCTAAATAGTATATAATACATGTATTTGGGCTAATATGTGATCATGTTCATTTGTTGAATTAATGAGTGAATGACTGAGTGAACACAACTGAGTAGTGGATTTCAGTAAGGATTTCAGTTTGCAGGCAAAAAAGGTCACCTGTTTGCATTGAGACTTTCAATCAACAAATTATCTTATTATGTAATAATCTTTGTGAAAAGTGTTACACTGTCACCATGTGGTGCACATGTACACATATACACAAGCACAAACTGTAAAAGCTGTGTTTCATGTACTTGAAACACAAACTGCAATGTTAAGTCCCAGACCTTACAGGACCAGTCTAACTAGTTTCAATCACCCTCAATATAACAACCAAATTTTCTCCCACATTTGTGTAACAGGAATGGCTCATGAAAGTGCAGCACCAGCAAAGTGTGCAGGGCTGTACGTCCTTAACACAACACAGTCCTCAGGCTACAACGCCTGAGCCCTTGATAACTGTACCTGATTTACAATGTTTTCACTCTATTAGCAGTTTGAAGTGTTAATACTTCATTAAACTGGTGGATTTAGGGTGTGTGAAGGGTCATAATATTTAGTCTCTTACATCCAAAAGGAATTTCAGTTTAAAAGCATGCAATATAATTCCATTAAATTCATTAAAAGTATGGAAAACATTTTGTATGTCTCTTTTGTTGTACAGTCAAGGTCAAAGGAGATCCCCAATGGAGTGCTTCAACAGCCTACTCCTCAAACTGAGGGAGGTCCACGAGCGAGAGGTGGAGGGTAAGTGGAAACTGGAGACCATCTTGCGATAGAATCACTCCAACCACGATACAGTGCATGCTGTTTAAAACAAATGTGCACCAGGGGTGTAAAGTGGGGGGACCAGTAGCCCCTTCCCTACATCCTACCCCCTACTTTCGGCCCTCTTGCTCAGACCATGCCCATTTTTTAACTCGGCCTTCATTTTAATCTCAACAACACACCTATAAGGTTTCATGACTGCATCTTGCATGGTTGTGGCATTATTGACAAAATCTATCCACAGACAGAAAGACAGACATGAATACTGGTGTTCACTTTGTGAGTCTGTGCGTATGTCATTATGGCAAAATGTGGTCCTGGTACCACCTATTGAAACAGGAACTACCAAATAAGTCATTTTGGTTATTTTACCAGGTGTATGTCTGTCTTTCTGTCTGTGGATAGATTTTGTCAATAATGCCACAACCATGCAAGATGCAGTCATGAAACAGCTGTTGCGACATTGTCACGACTGGAAATCACAACAAAAGCAGCCATTGGCAACAAGGGTGAAAAAAAGAGAAAAGTTGTGATGCTGCTGTAGTAGAAGAGATATCTCATATCATTTGCACAAATTATAACCAGATGTATTTTGTTTTTCCAGGGTGGCAGGTAAAAATTCAAGAGCTGTCCAACAAGAAGGGCTGGTGAGTGACTCTCCCCCTCACTGAGGTCTCTACATGATCATGTTTAGACAACGCTGACAAGATAATCAAGTTTAGCTATACACAAGTTCAGCCACTGTGGGAGCTTTTGTCTTTGTGGACCACGCAGACTGTCATGCTGGCACTGCACCTGGCCCTGTGTTCGTCCATGTCATGTTTAGCTTGGAAGGGAGCTCATGTTGCAACAAGTCATTCAGTCTGTTACTGAGTCACAAAATCTTTGTTACGTTTCTCCTTGGAACTAGTGAACAAACTACTGTCAAAGGAACGGTGTTAATTTAGATTCTAGATACAACTGGGAGTTAAAACAAGAAAGTCTTTGAGTCCATTTCAAATACTGTAGAAGGAAGCGGAATCCAGTGTGCAGGATTGAGGGGCATCTATTGGCAGAAATTTTATGTAATATCCATACCTATTTTTTCATAGGTGTATAATCACCTGGAAATAAGAATTGTTGTGTTTTTGATACCTAAGAATAAGCCGTTTATATCTACATACAGAGCAGGTCCTCTTCCACTAAGTCCACCACGTTATGTCTACAGTAGCTCTAGACAGGACCAGTCACATTTTCTTATCAGCCACCATAGTTCTACACACTTGCACACAGTGTAAGTTTCAGGTTAGATGGCTAGATGCCACTAAATCGAACACAGGAGACCTTTACTCTGACTTTACTCTGATTAATTTACTTAATAAGATGAACAGTCCTTGTCTATGTGTACAAATTGTGGGTCAAGTAGGTAATTTCTAAGTTGTGTCATGCATCCATCCACCCATCCATTTTCAACTGCTTATCTGAAGCTGAGTCGCTGGGGCACTAGGCTGAGCAAAGTATTCCAGACACCCCTCTCCCCACCAACACTTTCTACCTCCTCCTAGGGGGTCCCGAGGTGATCCCAGGCCAGACGTGTTCAAGGTCTGCCCTGGGGCCTCCTACCAGTTGGACATGCCCGGAACACCTCTAATGGGAGGCGCACAGGAGGCATCCACACCACCTCAACTGACCCCTGACGACACAAAGGAGCAGCAGCTTTACTCCAAGCTCCCTCCATATGTCCAAGCTCCTTACCCTATCTCTAAGGCTGAGCCCAGCCACCCTTCAGGGGAAACTCATTTCAGCAGCTTGTATCCACAACCTTATTCTTCCAGTCATTACCCAGAGCTCATTACTATAGGTGAAGGCTGGGACATAGATAGACCAGTAAATCGAAAGCTTTGCCTTCTGGCTCAGCTCTCTCTTCACCACCATGGTCTGGCACAGCACCCACATCACTGCAGGCACTGCGCCAAACCACTGTTCCAAAAAGAGTGCAAAAAGTGCTGGGAAAAATACTGAGCTGGTGCAGGAAGTTTGTCCTCTGCTGGGCCTTTTACCTGGTGGTGTCGGTGGGAGGGATCCACTTAAGGTCCTGGGAGATGGTGGATCAAAGAAACCTGAAGGTTTCCACAGCAGACACAGGGTCTTCTTCATTACGCTAATTTATGCTTCCTGTGACCCGGAAATTGTTTTCCCTCCACCATCATAAAGGATCTTCTGTCGTTCTGTGACATATAATGCCACTCCCCTCATGATTATTTACTCGCACAGTTTATTCTCACATTGCTTACTGTGTAGTGTTGTGTAAAGGGATCTACAAATAATATGATAGCGCACAGTTACATAATGAGATGCAATATAATGCGCCGTCAACATGTGTGATAAACATAATTGTAAAGTGTTGTGGCATCACACAAAGCGGCAGTTTGTTTTTTGCCAGTTTTTTTGTTTACAATACTCAACATACAAACTAGTGGTTTGAGGGTCAGAGTTTTTTTAAAGCTCGCACCAACCCGGCCATTATGAGTACCAAACTGTTCCACCCTCTGGCAAACATACGTATTCATCAATGACCCGTACCCGAACCACAAACTAGAGCAGAACGTTTCTGGTAATAATGACCTACTTGATGTTGGCTATATTGTCCATCATTTCCTTTTGAATGTAGTTACAATTTTATACTGTGCTCTTGATACTTTTACATATATAAATGATCTGATTACCTGCCACTGGAAAAAAGGAGGGAAATATTGAAAGCTGATATGGAAATGCAGCAACAACCATAAAACTAAAAGGAAATAGAATATATGTGAAGCAGCCTTTGGAAGTATTGCCTGCCTGTCTGTTCTTTAATGAATGTTCCAGAGGAGACATATTATTCTGTATCTCACTGATTGTAGAGAGACAGACATGTTATGTGATTGGCATTACATTTTGACAGTAATTTTTGTGTGTTTGTGTGTGTGTGTGTGTGTGTGTGTGTGCATGTACACAGTGATACAAAGCGAATGGAGGAACTGTTCACCAAAAACCAGCAGATGAAAGAACAGCAGCGACTACTCACCGAGAACATCAAGACACTGGAAAACAGGTACTGAGGTTATATTAAGCTTTTGTTCTGTATTTGGATTACAACATGTTTGTTTGTGTGAGCATATGAGTGTGTATACATACAGTTTATATTACCATAAACTAGTGATAATACTAGACCAAATAAATGCAAAATCCCTGAGTGTATTGAACTTTGAAATGTGTTACTGCAAATAAACTTAAAATTGGATCATGAACACTAAAACATAGTGGAACAGTAGCACAAGTAGACGAATCTGCCAACACAGTAATGTCAGCAACACAGCAACATCTTTTTAAAGTTAGCTAACGTTAGCCACCACAAACTGCTGGTCATATCGGACCCCGTAGGGCTGTGGCTTAAAGTCAGTCAATTAAAGGTGCACTGTGTAAAATATGGCTAGAGTGTTAACATTCTAAACAAAAATCAAACTAACATGGGAATGTGAAGAAGTAACAATTTTGACACTATGTTAAAGACCTCTACGTTTAGACCCTTTTACTGTTGGTAAACAGTATGACGTTGATGGGCTGGGCACAGATGGAGAAAGAACACTTCTCCACAATAATTAGTTAGCACTAGTTAGCAAGTTCTGTTGGCTTGTTTTAGCCAATGGAGGAAGATGATGCGAGTGGTGCATTCGGCACAAACTGGACCTTTTTCATGCTTTCAGAGCACTGTTGGAATATACCATTTGGTTATCCAGAGCACCGCACTCTTGGAGTAAGGGTTACGGAGAAAATCAATATTCCTCTTAATACCTCCCCAGTGTCTGATAGGTGGACATGATAACCCAGCTGGTATTCATCCCAACAACAGTAAATACTTTTCCCCTAACCTGATATGATGTGTGCGCTGCACATGCGAGCATTTTTGGTGATCGCCTCTGCCCAGTCCTTTCCTCTTATTGCATTTAACCATAGTTGTCTTCAATTTGTTGACGGGCTGTGGTGGCTGGTATGCGATAAAATTTAAGCTCTGAGCCACGACTCCTTCTATTCTGGCACCCAATAAGACAACAAGACGACATTTTAACACTCCTATGTAGCCTACAGCCCTGTGGCAGCGAGTCATGTTTTGCCTTCAGGTAACAAAATGACATCATTGTGACGCTGGCCCCAAAAGAGTCCATTGTGTTGCAGAGATATCCACTGAAATCAGCTTGCTAACCAGCCAGCTTGTCCTGACTTGTAATGCCACTTGTACCTTTGAGAGGCGATAGCAAGTCACTGTAGCATCCAGCCTACCCTCAGTCCAACATGAGAAGACCAAGTCAAGTCCAGTATAGTTTTCCTTGTTTTGAGATACCTGTGATCCCTCCCAACATAGTTGAGCAATCTTTTTATGTCACTTGACATTCTCTTCTATTTTGGACAATCGGACAATCAGGCAATCCAAGGTCTGAAATATACAATAGTAATGAGGTGAGGTCAGTCCCCTCAGGCTGGTACACAGTTAAGCTAAGCTAGTTAGGCTAAGATAGCTTGCAGGCTTATCATTCGTCGCTCATTCAAGTCTGTGATCTTCACTGACGTCTCTATCCAGGCGTTGGTCAAAGCCAAAATATATCCAGAGCCAGATAATACATAGTCCAACATCCCAAATCTGTCGAAAAGCCAAAAGACACACGCAGCACAGACAGTGCAACTAATGACAACACAAGTTGTACCGAAAAACATTCCAAATGGCGATGATATTTATTTTTGATGTGGCTGCTTTCTTGCTACTAGTCTTGCTGGAACTGCCACACTTAAAGATTATTTTAAAAAAAGCATGTTATTTTGACCAGCTGTCAGAGTTTAAGTAGCTTGGGCAACTTTTGCCTATTCTTGCCCTGCTGTTAGTTAGTAGTTGGCCTTTGGGTGAAATGCTGCCCCCTGTTGGTTTAGAACATGAAGGCAGGTATTACACATTGCTCCTTTAAGCAATTTAATGTTTGTAAATTTAAAAAGAATGTGTTTTCTCTTCTTCCAAAAGTTACATAGTCACACCTTAATGTGTCATTAAATGTGTGTGTTTAATTTAGGATGAGGAACATTAGGATTGTGAGTAGTATAGAGTGTTTTCAAATCAGTCAGATATGTTTCTGACGTTGTGTTTTTCTGCTGCTTGTGTAGGCTGAGAGCGGGGCTGTGTGACAGATGTACAGTAACTCAGGAAGTATCCAAGAGAAGACAACAGGAATTTGAAGCCTCGCAGATGCAGAGCCTCCAGCACATCTCTCTACTAGGTATTCTGTTCATGTCTGGTCCAACCTTACATCCATTTGTCATCCATCACTTGTCTCTTGTGTCACCATTCAGTCCTGTATCACAACTAAAAAAAAAATTGTTTCCTTCATTTCCTATCTTTTGCTTCACCTTCTGGCATTTGATACAGTTTTCATCCAACCTCCCATCCATGCCATTCCTTTCCAGTAAAAATATTAAAGGTTCAGAGAAATAATATAGCAGCAAACCACAATTTACTATGTAAAGATATAGTAGATGAATGGCGTCCTGAGCAGAGAAGATACCTCTCTATGTGTGTTGTAATATGAAGCTTCTCTGTGGTTTGTTTGTAGCCACACATTCATGTTAGTACACGTGTGTATCCAACTGGCTAGCTTATCGCTCATCATCCACTCTGCACAACGCTCATACAGTAGTTGCTGCTGATATTGGGATGTCCTCGTCCCGCAAGTGTAGCACCCATCCTCCAGTCACCCCCTGGTTAACACTGTTTGCTCTGGCAGCACTGTCACAATTTTACCATTGTTTATGGAGTTAGCACCACTAGCTGCTAGCCGCCAGCTCCATGGGCATGGGCATCACTGGGCACTTTTAGCTCCACTGAGTCAAGCCATGCCGTACTGAACTGCGTTTCCATTAACAGTTTAGATGCGCCGTGCCACGCCGAGCTGCACCAGAGATGGACCTTTTCTGGAGTAGGTCCAAAAGCCTGGCAGCCCACCCTATAGTGGGTAGCAGTGAAGTTTCACCAACCCCAGCCAACCCCCAATGACCCCCACCTATCCCCCTCAAACAAGCCATGTGTGTTGCAAGGATCAACTCACCTATCTGTCTGCAGGAGACCAGGGAGGAGGGCGTTTTTAAGTTTAGTTTCTCTCCTGCATCCAGATTTTACTGTATATATATCTGCTTTATTTTACTGTTTTATGTTCACTACCAGCCGTATTAGATGCTGTGTGAGGTTGCTGCTCGATAACTCGACATTTCCTTATTTTGTTGTTTCACAATAAAAGTTTTTACACTACAAAATAAGAGGGGGCATTTATTGTGAAGGATCCATAGGCAAAGAAATGTGTTTATTACTGAGTTAACATTGTTGGCAGCTTTTCTTCAATAAAGACAGGTCTAATAATACTGCAGGGATGAAGAGTAAAAGCAGAGACAGCCACAGTGAAGTAGATGAAGAGCTGCAGACAACAGGCTCTTACAACACCTCTGCACACAGCTCAAAAAGCATCAAAAATAACAGGGGGCTTTAACTGTGGATCAGCCCACTGCTTTTAAATGTCATCACTCAAGACAAGCCATCATCAGTTAAAGACATACCTTTAAGAAGATGGCCTTGTTGTATCGGAAATGCAAATCCCTGCCATCCTGGGCTGATGGCCCAAACCAAACCAAACCAAGCCAAGTCAAGCCAGCCCGTGACTGTCAAAAAAGGGTACATGTTGAGAGACGTGTGCAGAAAACTCATACATTCTGAATTTCAGATAGAGTCCCTTATAACTTTGGTGTTCAGTGTTCTGATCATGACTTGTGGTCTGTGTTGTAGCTGGAGAGATGAACAACCTGAAAAAGGAAAACAAGAAACTTAGAGAAGAGCTCAGAAATTTAAGAGCAGCAATTGAGTGAGTATATGGTGTTTGATTATAAAGTTTTAAGATGAGGCCTCTTCAGTTGATCTAGGAGAGGCTTCAAATAAGTTATTCTCAATTTTCATTGTCATTTCTGTTGTTACATTTAGTATTTCTCAACAGTTATAGCCAGTGCAGCAAACATGTGACCACTATTTAATTTTTGTTTGTATGGCAAATAGTTTGATATTACATATATCAAAGCATTTTGCATGTATGACCGATCTGCCTGAAAGAAATTTCTCATGTGTGTGTGTGTGTGTGTGTGTGGCAGAGGTCACAGTGACCTCTCCTCCAATAGCAGCAGCACCACAGAGGTCAAAGCGAACAGTTCCCCTGACCTTTCACCCCCTTCTGGACCTGTGGCCCTCATCACTTCAACAACCAGCAGGGCCACTAACCATCCAGCAGATGGCAATGTTGCAGTAAAAACTGAGGCAGAGCCAAGACCCGAAGGTGAGGATGAAGTCAAGTCAGGAGGAGGAAACGTTTTTGCTTGTTTGTGTGTTGATTATTATGCTCTCGTTTTTTACATAAGTTCATGTTTGTGTTTCTGATCAAACAGACACTGAACACAGACAACTGAGAGTGATGAACCGGAGCCACTTTGTAAGTTTCTAAATCAGCTCACTCTCAGAAGCATAACCACTAAATTTTTTTTTCCTGCAGCACAACAAAGAAATTGATCATTCTGGAAAAGACTAATATTTGCTTTGTCTCTGAGAATTAGATAATACCATCAACACCACTCTAATAGAAAGGGCAAAGTCCCTTCCCCTGCAGTGTACCCCACAGGACCCTGTTTTTAAAAAATAATGTATGTACAGTAGCCAATGGCAAGAGTAAATTGTTTTGTAGATCCTGTTTGATTTTGTGCCATGAATTTGTTTGTTAATTTTAAAGATAATCTTGCAAGTCAAGAAATTTGTCATAGGTTTGTTGTAGTACCATTCAGTTTTGTGTGAACTACATCTCTCGCCTCGCACAATATACCTCACCAACACCAGCAAACTAGCCAGCTCAGTAACATAGCTATATTCATAGCACAAATGTAACATTATCTTAACTGATATGTGTCCAGCATCTCTTGACCTTTTATCAGCAATGACGCAAAAAAATGACCAAGACCTGCTGATCTTGTGAGAATACTGGTATGAAACACATGCTTCAGCAAAAGAAAAAGCTATGACATCAGTAACGCAACTTGTGTAGTCTCCCTAATTATATATTTTCACAGTCTTATGCTTCAACAATTTCAGAACAAACCGAAACATTCTTGACTTGCAAAATTATTCTTTAAATCGGCAAACATCATAGGCCATAGGGTCAAAAAATGATTAACTACCATACATAGTTTTCCTGAAATAGAGATCTCCAGGGATTACATGTTTCTGTAGGCTGATGCAGAAGTTGGCATCGCCCAGGTTCCCTTTTTAAATAGACTATGGGATCATTTTTCAATTGGATTTTGGATTATTGCAGAAAATCAGCTCTGTGGCAAACAGATGATTATGATACTTACACATTTTTACACACCTCTTTCATATTTTTTAAAGCCTAAATGAAATTGCCATAAGTAAAAAGATAACATTAGGCTATAAACGAACTACAGCATTGTAGTATGAACTAACATTCCTACCACAACGAGGCTGTAAAGTCCTGTAGTCTCATTTAGCCACAGCTTTAGCAATCACCTTTTGTAAGACATATGAAAGCTTCAGAATTCACGAGTGGGGTATTTACTGACGTATGTTATTTTGCAAAACAAAACATGAAAGTCTCTGAAGCTTGTGTTAACCAAAAACATATTAAAAAACCTACTGATTTTAAGACAAAAGTACCGGAAAGTACCATTTTATTAGATATAAAGCTGAAGCCAGTAGAGAGAGTTAGCTTAGCTTACCATAAAGAACCTGGGAAACAGCTAGCCTGTCTCTCTACAACAACCATCGACTTACTGGCACTTCTAAAACTCACCAGTGAACAAGTAATATCTAATTTTCATTCAGTTCTCAAGAAGTGTAAAGACAATAAAAGTTCATTCAGAGAGAACCAGGCTAGCTTTGTTTCCTCTTTCAGGTCTTTATGATTAACTAAACTATCTGTCTCCCGGCTTTAGCTTCACATTTAGCGTACACAGATAAGAGTGGTATCAATCTTCTCATTCAGAAAGAGAGCATCTGTTTATTTTCAGATTGTCAAACTAATAATTTAATGTATGTGATAATGGATAGTGTGAACATTTTGTTTGCTTTTCTGCTCTTCTTCACTTTCACAGGAGTCATACAAGCCTCTGGCCTGGAAGACAGAACATAGTGTAACTCGTGCTGGAGAGAGGAGGTGAGACCAACATATTCTCATTCTATTTTGTCAAACACCGTCACTTTGTCGGCAGACCTACACATCTAAATATGACATGCCAGGTACCCTCCTGCATCTGTTTTGGACATTCAGGGAGGATGTGTCAATTTACGCTTGTTACGTGCACTGTGCCTTTATAAAAGGCACTTTGATTTTCACAGGAAATGTACAGTTTCTGCTTGTTAGATGCATACATTCTTTTTTTCTTTTTCTTTTTCTTTTTTTTTACTTTTTAGGTTTACCTCCTTAGGTTAAGGCAACAAAAGTCCTAGGTTAGGTTTAGGCAACAAAAAGCATGTGGTTAGGTGTAGAAAAAAAAATAGAATTCACATGGGAAACAAAATGCTCCTGGGTAAAAATCTGAAGATTGTTTGACCCATCAACCACCTCTCCCACCCACCCAATACGGAATATCTCGCTCTTTATATTCTGGTAGTTGGCGGCAGCGTAATAAACTGCCGCCACTCTGTGTGTATCATACAGTAGTGAAGGATGCCTCTGTGCATCCTTGTCTGATGCTGACGTCCATGTGACAAAGCCATAGTATTTGACAACTTGGGTTGTTGCTCACTACCTCTAAAACTAACATTAGGAAGTATTCCCTTAAATTACTTGTTACAGAAAAAAAGTAATTGTATTACTGTTACTTAGTCTCGCCACCAGACAATCAGAGATCTCCGCCTTCTGATAGTCTGGGGACACTCCTTTCTAAAGTGTGTTTAACACACCGGCGAAAACGGCCGGCAACAAAGCAACGCCTCTTGCATTTTTGAAAAGGACACGCCTTCCCCCTTTTCTCGTTCGCAAGGAAACAAACACACAGAGAGCTTGAAAATGGATGCCGAGAGATTTAACTCCGTTTTATCAAACATGTGCTCATCCGTGAAGAAAATATTTTTACCAGCGGATGTCTTAGTTACAACATTATTGAGCTAACTGGAGTAGTTTCATGTCGTATCCGACAATGGGAGGCTTTTAACAGATGACGTCCTGATGTTAGCTTTGCTGCTTTTGTTAGCTGTCCCTGTCATCTGCAGCCACTGATGCTTTCTAGACATCGTGATTTCCCAAAGCTGAATAAATACCACACATAGCAACACAAAACTGCTTTGCTAGCTCAATCATGTTGTAACTAAGATATCCGCTGGAAAAGATTTTTTTTTCACGGACCGTTTAATGAGTTATTACCTATTACAGACACTGCTAACGGCTAACAGGGCTAACAGCTAACAGTTAGCCCAGCTAAACGTGCACACAGAAATAGTAATGTTTGTTCAATCATAGCGTTTATAGACTTTACAAACATCGGATTAGTCTAAATGATGATACAGTGATGTGAAAAATGTGATACATAGGCTATATATATAGCTAAAAGCTCTGCTGGTTTTCTACCCGGAAGTATTTGTAAACAACAAGGCGATTCCCTCTGTAGTCCGGCCGGATGGATGAGTCATGGCCTTGTAAAAGATTATGTTTGTTTCTTTCAGTTGGCAAGAATGTGTCGACGCAAACGCGACAAACATCCACTAACTTTGACAGCGTTTTCTGCGAGCACGGCTGAGCCATTTTGTACCGCTACACGTGTTTCTAGTCGGACTATGTTTACAAGCACAAGAGTTCAGCGAGCCACCAAAGGACCGCCCTGCAGATTTACTATTGGTTCTGCAACGTAGGGAGTTTTTTTAAACTCTGAGTCATCAGTCTTTAGTTAAGCAAAGCGTCTAAAGACTGACTTGTGAGTCTAACTGTTACTAAGTAATGCATAACTGCCAACACATGGCCCAGTAACCTGCATGGATATTTTAACCTCTCCCTATCTGCCTGATTTGTTTCTCATAACTTAGAGCTCAGAGCATTGAAGGACTGGACCAGCGATCCTCCATCCCTCCTCAAAATCTCCTTCTCAGGAACTCCTCTTCCTCAACCAGTGGAGAAGTGAACCCCAGCAGACATGTGCTCCATGCTCCTGTCCCTTGCCGTCCTCAACCAGTCACGAGCCATGTTACTCTTCCCTGGCCCTTATCTGAGTCCCCCGACTGGGTGACTGCGGCTGCTTCAGGGACAGGCCTGGTAGTGCAACCTTCTCCCAAACCAAACCTGCTGCGCTTTCCCAACCTAATCCCATCTAGCCAACATGCCAGCTCCAGAAGGCAGGTTTTTGGTTCTCCCTGGCACAAGCAGAGCACCCCTCAGCCCCCTGCCAAGGAGCCAACAGTGGTGTTTAGGTTGCGAAATCTGTCAGAGCAGGTGGAGAGTCAAATGAAGCCTCAGGAGAAAAAGGAAATCCCACCACCCAAGACTGAGAGGGTCTCAGGAGAAGGGCTTAAAGAGGTGTATGAGGGGCCTCTGGACCTATCGGATCGAGGAAAATCCAAATCCAGCCAAACGCCAAGAAATGATTCACCCCTAGCATTACAACATGGAGAGAATGCACAGAGGAGCACTGACAAGGATGAGAAGACAAATCTATCGGCATACGGACCAGTATCATCACCCTCTCCTGTTGCCCCTCCGTCTTCTACCCCACCGGTCAAACAAGAGGAAGAGTCTACCAGTGACCTTAACCACAAGGTACTTTTACTTAGCAGTAAGATTTAAAGACATTGGGGTGATGGTAAAGAGGGGACAAACAAGACTCAGGGTATGATGGTCTTATTACAGCAGGTAATGAATGAGCAGGAGCAGGAAGAGAAGGTGAATGAAAAGACGGACCAAAGCAATGGGAAGAAAGTGCCTGTCCTCACCATATCATTACGTCCAGGTGAAGCGCTTAGATTCAAAAGGGTCTCTGTGTGTTCATCCATATATTTACTGTGCATAGATGAATAATACATGGTGTCATGTTTCTGTAGCAGTAGTGGTGCTGGAGACTCTGAATCCGGCTATGCAAGAATCTTTATCATCAAATGCCAAAGTAAGGTCTATTAAGCCAACAAAGCAGACACAGTCTAGACTTTCTTTTTTTTATTTAGAATCAAAATGTCCACATGAAAATATTGTTTCTAGTTTGATTTTACTTGAAATAAAGGTGTCTTTCTTTTGTGAACCTTTGTGCTTCATCTGCCTCATCACAGTCGACATCACCAGCAGTTGAGCAAGGAGGCAGCTCAGATGACCAGGACGATGAGGACAGTGCGTCAGGACAAGAAAGCAACCAGGGCCACAAGAGGAAGCGGGCATCAGTGGAGACGGAAACTGACAGAGACTCAGAAACAGACAGTAGGCATAAGTTCACTTTTCAAGTCCTTGTGTGTCTTTATTTACTTCTTCCTTTCTTTTTTTCCCTCTTGGGTGTGGATTTCAAGTCCAATCACATTTTTAAAGCTTCATCAATCAAAGTTTTACGCACTTGTGGTCCATATTCATTTAATTTCTGGTTCTGTGGACACACTTACGATATTTAAGGGATAGTTCAACAGCCTTCAAATATCTTCCACAGAGGTGCCTCAGAACCATGCATAGAAGCCACACATCAGCCAAATTCTGTCCTTCAGTGTAATTAAACTCAGATTTAATTGATCAGGTGTTTTATTGTGAATGCACAGTATTTGAATCCACACAACCAACTCTGTGATCATACAACCATCGTAATGATGTAAACGCTCACAAGTCACATCTCTACCATCCAACCCAAAGAACATGAACCAAAGACGTAGGATTTAGTTGGGATGGTAGAGACACATCCCACAACAGAGTAGTGAATTGTCTATAATGATAATTTTGATTTTAAAAAAAATAAATGTAATCACCTGTCTGTCAGTGTCTAGTCAATGGTACACAATCAGTTAACAGATCTTATTTGCGAATATGAGTCCCATCTCCATTGGCGCCCCCTGAAATGTTTCATAGGGGTGCAGATGGTGCCACTGAAAACTTTGGGGTAGGACTTCAAAACCAAAAGTCATAGTATATAGGCTAGGTGAAAACTATGTCAAAATAGAAAGTTAAGGAATCATCAGCAAAGAAATAACATAATTTACAGTAGACTATAGGACTCAAGGAAATACAATGGCTTGGATTACAAATGTATTCTTGTCATATTACAACTTTCTCTAAAAATATTACAACTCTATTCTTGACCTCTCAGAGAACATGGTGTGGGACAGGTTTTGAATGTGCAAAAAGTTTTGAACGTTAGCAGAAATCTTGCTGCAACACATATCCAGGGGTTTATAAATAAATTTATTTGAATCAGTGGGTCATTACTTCCCCAACCAAAAGACTCAAAAGATGACAAAAGAGTAAATCATGTCAACATGTGTGCTGGAAAAGTGACAAAGAATGAAAGTAATAAACGTACTAAATAACAGTAACACAGAATGCCTGAGAAGCTTACTGCATTATATTTCATCATAATTTCATATTTTGTATTGTCATTGTCATTCTCCTTTACATAAAGACAGTTTCACCATAAATTGGTGCAAAAAAAAACAAAACAGAATGAAGGACCCCCAGAACCCCCCTACTTAATATGTCACCCCAGTGTTGACATGAAACCTTAGCCCTTGACATAAATACAGCATTTATACTTAATGTAAATAAATTGGTATTGATCTTGTCATCTAACAATGGTCAAGAAAGCAAAGAAAGGCTCATTTCCCCAAATTTGAAACTATTCTTTTAGATGGTTTAAACCATCTGAGCACTGCTCGGCCAAAATCCTGTATGTGAGATGAACTTTGAAGGGTAAAATTATTCCATTTCAACTCTGACTTCTGCTCAATTGATGTGGTCTTAATTATTGCCCATCTACTTTCTTCCTTTTAAGTCTATTTGAACCTGTACAAAAGTAGCCATCATAAAAATTTCACTTTTGCTGGCTGCTTCTTCTCCCTCACTGTTTGGAACAATCTTCTTTTTTTCCCTCACAGATGTCCAGCAGGAGAGGAAGCTCAAGATCACAGTGAGAGCTGAGGAGAAGAGCCCTTGCTAAAGAGCATGACATCACATTGACTTGGTGATCTCACTCAAACATGCATCAACTGATAGTTATGGCCACCTGGGAGCAGTACATCAACCTGTAAATACAACACTTAGCCTACATGTACCTTATGAAGTTGATAATGAATTGGCAAACACTGGAGTATTTAAACCAGCAGACATGGAGCAACTTTCATTAATTTGCATTCATTTGGAATTGTTTGTTTCTGGTCACCTGATGAATGGAAGTCCAATATTCACTCTCCTTTTAGCTCTTTCTCTTTGCTCTGCACCTTCTCCTCAGGGAAATATTTGGCTCTGTTGGTGCTGGGCAGGTAGAGTGGGTTTTTAAGACCCTTTCGGCTGGAACAGCTTCCTGCTGTGGCTGAAAATCAAACTGATAAGAGTCATCAATTACAGGCCATACAATCTAAATGATGTTTTTTTTATTTGTTTGTTTGTTTGTTTGTTTGTTTCCGGAAACTACTTGGGAAGTCAACATTCAACCTGTAAATTATTTCCCATAATAATTTCCACAATGTGCATAAAATGATAAAGCAGAGCCGCAAGTTTTCAGCTGACATGAAAACTTGCGGCTCTGCTTTATCATTTTATGCACATTGTTGTAAAATCTTTGGATGTGTTTTCGCCTTGTTTTACAGTGACTCATGTCACATCTGTTTAATATGGTGGCTATGGCATTTCGAATGAACTGCATGTGCAAAATACTTTAAGAATTTGAAAAACACAAGCAAAAATGCCCATACATGTGGAAGAGGAAAGTTAATGTCTGTTTGAGAGGTAGTCTTAGTGAAACGTTGTTTGCTAACTAACTATGATGACCGCTATGTGACTGTCACAAATGAGTGATGTTGTTTCTGTCTTAGAAATTCAAAATCTTTTGCTAAAGCATTATTTGAAAACAACACATGACTGATTTCTGTCAAGAGACACTTGAGTGTTGAGTGATTTAGTGTGAAGTGTTGAGCGACTTAGTGTTGTCATATAGCAGCTTTACTCTTGCTGTCTTCATACAGCTTTGGGGTACCGCTTAGGTTACATTCATCTGACTGACTAAAGTTAGTTAAGTAACATCCTGCTAACTGTAGGCTATTGCATAGCTAGCTTCCTAATAAGCTACAATTAATAGAATAATATTAATGCAGTAATTGTCCACTGGCAAAAATAGGCAGCCTGTTTCATTATCAATATACGTTGACACTCACTTCTGTTGTGGCTATTGCATTTGGGTTTTCTGTACATTTGCTTGCATTTTTGAACTTTGCAAAGCATTTTTGATGCAGTACATTTGAGACAGCTCAGCCACCGTAATAGAACACAATAGATATGAAGTTTTCATCAATACAGTGCTTTATCCTGGCTTCAAGGCAGTCTTTTATATAAGGGGTGGATTCCCCAGGAATTTGTAAAACTTTTTTAAAATAGCCCTAAACCTTGGTTTTGGCCTCTTGGGGCAGCATAATCAAGGTGTAAAAGGAACAATGATGTATTATCACCTTATAAAGTTGCTGTGGGAAACAGTGTTAATTTTGTTGGCGAAAATTTTTTATGACAAAGACGAGACAGTGGCGAGCTAAAAATAGATCTTGATAATAAAAACTAAGATGAAATCTATGTTTCACTTTTACTGACGAGACAAGACTTGACAGAAATGTTAGTGGTGGACTATCAGACATTGAAAGCCGAGAACGGCCACGCTTGCAATTACCTTTACCACATGACTGACAGGCTGGTAAACTCCAGTAAATAGTCAGCGGCAGGATGTTTCGCTAGCCAGCAAATATACTCCCACTACAGAAGCATCAGCCATTGGTGCAAGCTGTGAGCTATAATTAATTAATTAATAAATAATCAGATGTGTGTGTCAGACTGTGGATGGTGGAGCTGCTGAATGGATTTGTTGAGTTTGTTATTTACAGTGGTGGCTGTTAGCAGTTAGCTCCGCTTGTTAGGAGCTGAATGGCAGTGGAGCAAGCAGCTACCAGCTGCCGGACTTCACATCTGTTGAACTCTAGTCAGTCCAACCTTTTTGTAAGTGTGTAGAAATTATTTGTAGTTGAAGAAAAACATTGTCCAAATTAAATTTTTATACAACCTGTCACCTTGATTCTAATTTCTGATACATGAATTAGCCTTAACTGGATCAGTTTAAAGAAACAAAAAAACATATAGAAAACATAATGACTTAAAGTTGACTAAAATGTCATCAACTAAAAGTAATGAGGATAGAATTGACTAAAATGTGACTAAAACTAATCAGTATTTTCATCTCAAGCTTAAAGACATAATCCAAAATAGCTGTCAAAGTTAACATGGGTGGCAAAAGCAAACAGATGCCTATCTACACATCCAACAGACACAGAGCAACATTAGTGTTCATTTGGAGTCTCCAGCAGCTCTTGAGAAAAATACCCCTGGAGTTAGCAAGAGGCTAATTTTTTCTATCTGCTGTTTGTTGTTGAGCAGGAAGCGTTTAAACTAAGTGGCTGGCTGCTTGCTGTGGCTGTAGATGATGCTGATCAGACAGACAAAAGTGAATCACAACAGTCAAACAGTAGTGTGTATTTGTGTGCGGCGCTATGGCCCACCCCCGCAACCGGCAAATTTGCTACATTACAAGCTCTCTCAAATTTTCCAGCATAATAAATACACAAAAGAATGTCAAATGCAAAAAATATTTTTTTATCTTTATCTATTTTCTCTTTTAAACAGTGAAATACGGTCGCACACTTTTTGAATTCAAGTTTTTCTCTTTCACCGAACTATGCTAGGCTTAACTGCTTCGTTTAGTCACGGTAAAACACTCGTCATTCAAACTCAACAGAAACAAAATAAAACTCAACAAAACAGTCTTGATTAGTCTTGTTAGCCCTTTAGTTAGTCAGCCCACTGTTCCAACAATCACCAACTCTGGTTTGGTCCAAATAAACCCTTAATTCGCCAAGTTAGGTGTGAAAAGGTGGTCTTGTTATGTTTATCTCCACCACTCGCAGTCAGCTCAGCTGCCTCTTGCACCACAATTTTAATTTTAAGTATTTTGCACATTAGCATTCTTTTTAGCAGCTTATAGCAGTTTGGTGGATAACTGAGACAACACCGCCTTGGAAAGTCACACATTTTCTTACACTTACCAGCTCACTGTCAAAAGGCACAACTCAAACAGCCACCCAGAATATGACCAACTGAAGACGAGTGCAGTAATTGAAAGTCTTCCTGTAGAAAGTTGAGAAATAAATGGTAAGATTTAAATTACTTCTGTTCAGTCTCCTCTAAGCTGTTGATTTGTCAATTGATCACCACAACTATTGCAGTAGAATGAACTGAATTTACATGGAGTTTTTACAGTCCTGGCAACCACTCAAAGCGCTGTTCAACACCAGCCCCATTCACAAATTCAAACACACATTTACACACTGGTGGCTGAGGCTACCATGAAAGGTCATCAGGTCAAAATTGAACACACAGTTTCACAATTTGGGGGCTCAGTATCTTGCCCAAGGACAGTTAGATATGTAGGCTGCAGGGGCCACGGATCGAACCATCAATAATTAGACGACAGCTCTACCTCCCTAGCCACAGCCATTCCTAGTACTACCATTATCACCACTAGTGTCATCCCTCCACAGTTAACAGCACTATCCATCCCCTTTTCTGAAATACTGAAAAATGTCAAGGTAATAAACTAACTTTTAACCTTTAATCATACATTTCTAATTAAAATGCACTATACCGTTTTAAATCAAAATCGCATACAATTTTTTTTTTTTTTTTTTTTTGGGTCTTACTGCCAACCAAGGCAAACCTAAAACTTCCATTCTCTTCTCCAACATTCATCACACACTATTATGATTTAATGTAAGATGTTTATAATTATTTTACTTTGCTGGCACTTCTGTCACTGCCGGGATATTTTATCACTCTACCTCTCTTCATCTCAACCTATTTTAAGTGACCAACAAAAAAAGAACACAGAAAAAGAAAGAACACAGAAACATGTTCCTCTTCCTCTTTTTCATTTTTTCAGAATTCACACATTTTGTAAGTATTAACTTTCCGTTTACAGCTGTTACAGCCTGTGGTTAGGCGGGTGGATGGAGGAGATAAAAGCGCAGTGACGGAGCCAACCTATACTTTTGTGATACGCCCTGCAAAGTCAGTGTGTCTATTTTGTGTAAATATATAAAACATTTTCAAAGTGGAGATGGTAATCAATAGGCTGCATGAGCCAATACTTACCCTTAATATGAGATTATTTTTTTCAAAAGTGTGCACTTTTTATTATCCTGTGTGTGAAAACCTGTGCAGTCCTAATGCTGTTATATTGATTTCTACTGTGTCTATTATGTCTCTCTAATGCCATTAGAGTCCATTAAGTATCATACTTGGTGAAAGGTCAGTGGACAAAATAGCTCTCTCTGTCATTTCCTGCCATTCACCTCTCTCTGTTAATTAAAGTGTGATTTCACTGTGCTGCTGTAAGTTTACTATTGTGCTTTGTCTGTTACAGTAATGTTAATCCATCAAGTTAAATGCTATGTTATTGTGTGGTCTTAAAAGATATTGTGGTTTTAGAATGAAACAATGTATACTCCTAGAAACTGTTATCTGAATGCACTACTTAAAATGCTGAAATAAATTTCTGTTCTTAAATGTTCAGCTCTTATACTTCATACCATAACACACTTACCAGACCTCTTGTACAGACACCGTATGGTGACTAACCCTTGTGAATAATCATAAGTGTTCTGGGAAATAGAAGTAACATTGTGTGACTTTTTTAGGACATTATGCAAAGCAGTTGCGGTGTTATAATCAGCGATGTAGAAACCAGCGACAACCTTCAAAGGTTCTTCATATAGTGGTGTGGTGTGATGCAACTTTACTGTTACAGGAAATCAGCTCAGTGGTCAGCATCCTGTAAAAAATATTCTATGAACAGATCACATTACACTAGGGCGGATTTTTTAGGTAAAGCTTCAATCTAACAATAACAGAGTACATCATCAACCCTATTCAGGATGTCGTAGATTTGCTGTGCTTGTTCTGATTAAATTTGGTTGGGTGATCATATACACTCGCAGGAAGTGATGGGTGGAAAAAAGCTAATTTGCAAGTCACTGGCGTTAAAGTCAAAGTGGAGCTGTAAGTCTTTTTACTAGGAGGAGCAATGTCAGTTTGTTAGTAAGCTAATCCACTACTTTGGTCCAGACTGAAATACAGTATCTCAGCAACTACTGGTTGCATTGCCATGAAACTTTTAAGAGACATTGATGTTCCCCTCATGATGAATCTAGTAATTTTTCATCTAGTGGGGACTGCCCATTGTTCCCATCGCCCAAAATTCTGAAGCCCTGTGTGTCCAAAAAATGTCCCATTGGACTGAAAGCCTGTTTCTCCAACAGCCTGTTATTCCAGAAGCAATCGCAAATTGTCCCAAAGTCCTGTCTCTCCGAAAATACACACTGGTTCTGGTTAGGAAAAGAACATGTTCTGGCATCAATCACCCATGTTTGGTGGTACAAAAGTCACTGTAAAAGCAGGGACAGGTCAGTGAAAAACACCCAGGTTCAGTGGCTTAAACGAAGCTGGGAAATGTTGCAGTGGGTTGGTAAAAACACCTGGGATTGGCAGCTCTAACACTAGCTCAAACACCACTGGGACACTTAAACCGGTTGTGGTGGGTATGTATTTTTGGAGAAACTGGACTTTGGAGCAATGGCCTTTTGTTTTTTGGGATAACAAGTTGTTGGAGGAATTGGATTTTGGGATGTCTGGGATCTTTTTCAGACTAACGGAGCTTCAGAATGAGCTGTCAGATCAATAGCATGGCACCCATCTTGCACCATCAGGTCAAAATGCTAAACATGCCGAAATATGATGTTGAAGATGGTAAACATAATACTTAATACAGAAAAGTAATGTGCATCTTTGGTTGTAGTGAGGTGCTAATCACTGGCAGGGCACTTGAGAGTGAAAAACAAGAGTCACACACCCTGGCAGCATATGCGTTTCTCTTTTATTCAGATGACATTTGGCCATTAGGCCTCAGGCCTTCAACAAGATTGCTGATCTAAAAGAAGGCCTGAGGGCTGAAACTTCATCTGAGTAAAAGAGAAGCGCATATGGAGCCAGAGTGTGTGACACTTGCTCTCTACTTGCAAATGCCACATCATACTAAAAATCAGCAATTGATAACGTCGTTGTGAGCATATTAACAAGCTGATGTTAGCATTTAGCAAAAAGCACTGGTGTGCTTGTAAGTACCACCTCACAGAGCTGCACACATACCTAAAGACTTTCAGTCCTTTTTAACTTTGGGTTTGGGGAAGATATCAAGTCATTCCAAGTTAAGTAGCAAATGTAAGTTAAGTCTGTTTTGACCAAGTCAAGTCTTAAGTCATCAAATTTCTGACCTGAGTCTGACTCAAGTCTAAGTTACATGAGCCCACCCCTCCGCTGGCAGCTAACGTATTTTCCATAGGATTGGATAAAGAAAACAGAAATGGGAAAATTTCGGTAAAATCTTGACTTAAAGCTGAAAATGCCTGAAAATGGTTGATTTTTGAGTCTCATCTGAGTTAGGTTTCGTTCGTCTCTGCCCTGAGCCCCTCCTACCAGATGAGCACGTGAATATTTTATCCTATTTGGTTCTATTTCTCCCTCTCTGGGAGCCTCGGCTCTCCCTCACTGCACAGCAGCCCTCCTCATCCCTCCCTCGCGGCCCTGCACATACTCCCGAGCCTCGCTCTCCCTCACCGCACAGCAGCCCGCCCCATCCCTCCCTCACGGCCCCGCACATACTCCCGAGGCTTGCCTCTCCCTCTCAGCGGAGAGCCCTTGGCTATGCTCCCACAGCCGACCCTCGCGCCCTCCGGCCGGGCCCGGCCCCACCTCACCCTTCCCCTCCCTCCGGGGCTCTGGGGAACCGAGTTCTGTCTTCCTTTTTTTGGGTTGTTTAGCCGTGTAGGCAGTTGTAGCCAATGCTGGAATAGCTATTTTACCTGGTGCACTGTTCGCCATTGCCGCTTGCTCTCCCCTTCTGCCAGTGGCACGGGAACGTGCATATGCAGTAGAACAGCCAATAGGAACACAGTGGTCTGAGCTGACCTTTGATTGGTTGATGCACATCGGCACAATACTGATTCTTTAGAGGATGAACACAGAGCCATGGTGAGGTGCAGAAACCTATTGTTTGTCTCAGACCACTTGATTTACATTATGCTTAGAGGATATTATAACATTTTTACTCAATTATACCAAAACAATGTTGCCTACTGGAGCTTTAATGTAAACAGTGATCACTTAGTCACGAGGTTTTTACTTTTGTGTTGTTTTTTTTAAACACATGAAAAATCACTCATACAAGAAGGAACTATAACAAGACCAAAGCCCTAGGTAATGATTTACAATTATATAAAACAGTACCAGGATGCAGGTAATGAGGGGGAAAAAGTCACGCTTGAACTGCGTTTAAAGAGTGGAATATAACACTGAGTGTCAGACAGGAGTGAGCAGTGCTCCATCCAGAGAGACCTGGTCTAACCAGTGTTTGATCAGTTGTCTCTCAAGTCTTGTCTGTTGTTGTTTTCATAAAGCGTGACAGACTGAGCAGGTCGGAGAATATGTGCAAATCACGTAGGGGAAAAAACCAACCCAGTCGCCAGAGGAAAATATTAGCATTGAAAATTTATGCAAACCACAAATACAGTACATACATATTATATCAGTGTTTCTAAAGTGACATAATATTTGAGCTGACTTTGTCCTAGGCGAGACACCTGCCAAGCTGCAGACCACTTGAGACCAACAAACTACAAAAACAGTGTGTTTTAATCAAGTTATGGCTGTGTTTCCATCAGCTTTTTAGGCACCAAACATGGATGTTTTGTAGCGACCTGTTGCTGTTTTTCAGAGAGGAAAGTGTGTTTTAACCTGCAATTCCTGCTGAGATAGTGCCACAAAAAGCAGTTGACATTGTTGTGTTTCCTGCTGGGATAGATGCAAAAAAGTGCTCCTTTTTATTGAGATGTGGCTGCGTTTCTTGCCAGGATAGTGGCATGAAATGCTGTTTTCACCGAGACATTGTTGCTTTTCCTGCTGGGATATTGCCATGAAATGCAGTTGTTTTTTTTACAGATATGACTGCCTTTCCAGGGTGGAATTTGCCCCCAAATTCCGGCTATTGGGTTGGATAAAACACAGCTGTCAATGGATTTGTATGTAGTCCATCAGCCACACGTACAGTAATTTCTTGTGTAATAATTAAACTATCTGTGGATCTTCAACCTGGTAAATGAGGAACTCATTTCCCATAAAGTTTGAATATGTGAGGCCTGCATGTCAGAGGGCTCATTGTGCCTTCACCCACACAGGCAACGTCAGGTCATCTGCAGCTGTGAGCAGCTGCTAAACACCAATTCTTACTCTTTATCCCTCATGCTGAGATTTGTTTTATCTTCTATTATCCTTTACCAATTTTTAAACTCCTACCTCTCTCTGTTTTTTCTGATCTCATTCATTTCATTCTCATCTTTATCTTCTCATGGCCCTCCCTCCCTCCCCTCTCTCCATCACTGCAGTTTCAGAGAGAACTCGGTTTCTAATCCTGACTGTTGATTAAGGATTATAGCTGAAGAGCCGGGAGCTGTCTCTGGTTTGTTATTGCTGAGCTGCTGTTGTGGCCCTGGGGGCTGAACTGTCCACGCCTCCCCCCCTGCTGCCTGCCTGCCTCCACCCAGAGGATGCACTGAGCATGATAGCTGTCAAACTCATTTGAATACATGTTAGAGCTGTCCTGCTGCTGCTGCACATCATGCAAATGTCCTCGCATCTATCCACCCATCCATGGCATCCATCCATTTATCCATTCTTCCCTCTGTCCATTCACTCCTCTACATAACATGATAGTAGCATTGATATTAATTACAACAAATTACATTTTTTGGCATACATGTTATTATAATGTCTAATGATTTAATACAACAGGAGACATACTGCCAAAAAGTGGCTGAACTATGACCTCCGGACAACTTTATCTATTAAATAACAAATAACAAATTAATAAGTTTAAAAGATATTACAAGGTAGCCTCTTTCTCACAAGTCCATCAAAGTACCACCACAGAAGCAGCTGAAAAAAAGTCAGTGAAACCAAGAGCACACTCGGTGTGTGCTTGTTCCTCTTTCACCAACTCAGTCAGATGCGCACGGCTCAAACTTCCTTGTACAAGCCCAGTGCTCTGCGCTCTGCCGCCCCGTCCGCATCTTCCACCTAACCCAAAGAAAAAAGTACTGTAACGGGATGGAACCTACGAAAAAGAAATGAGGAATATTCTCCACACTGTCATCCGAATCTAGAAGAGCACACACGACCGCAGAAGTAACAGTCGAAGTGATTGGTTGAAGCGCGGTAAGTGTCTCCTTGATCTGTGTTTGCTTGTGTGGACAGGGAGTAGCCGAACTGTCAGAAAGATGACAAAGTGAAAAATGGAGTAAATGTCTTCAAAAATATGGGGGGGGGGGGGAATATGAAAGTTATGTTTTGATGATCCACAAATTTAAGGTAAATGTAGTTTTACAACAAGGATGCTCAGTTCTAAAAAGAGGAACTTAAAGTCTCTCTGAGTTAAAACAACCACCGCCTGTAGGCTACACAAGTTATGTAGAGGAACGTGAAAGTGGTTAAAAGTATGTTAACAAATTGATAAATTGATAACGTTTATTTCAGTGCTGCTGCCCACCACTTTCTTTAGCATTCTATGAAGTGACGAGTCTTAGTGGTTCACCTCTGTTCAGTTGTGTGTGTGTGTGTGTGTGTGTGTGTGTGTGTGTTTGTGAGCAAGAGAGAGAGTTATTTTTAGACTGTCCATCTAGACTAAACCAGAAACCAGAAACTAGACTAGTTTCTGTTCTGCTCTGTGCTGCGTTTAGTGTCTGCACATTAACTTTAATGTCAGATGTTAGTGGGCTCAAAATTATAGAAAGCCCACCACAAGTAACAAATATTCAGTATTATGTATGAAAGCATGTGTATTTGCTATTAGTGCTGCATCCCCAGGGGCATAGCACCAAAGTCTTTGTGGGCCCCCTCATGCACCTTTTGATTTTTTATCAATTTTTTTTTTTATTATTATTATTTGTTTTTTACACAGGTTATTTTCTAGTTAAAGCATTTTATTGAGAGTGGTGTCACTTTGCACAGATCATAAGTAAATATATACAAATAAAGAAATTACTGGTAAATATACAACTGCAATATGAAGTTAATTAGTGCGTTTACAAAACTGACACAGACACTGTTCTCTTTTAGAATTTATAAAAACAAATAACACAATAGAGAAAAACAGAAAAAGAGAAAAGAGAGACGGAGATAAAGCACTCAAAGTCAGTTTACTTTGTTTCTCTTTCCTTTCTTTATTTTCTTTTTTTGGAACCCTGATTTCCCTTTTTTTTTTGGGGGGGGGGGGGGGGGGGGGGGGGGGGGTGGCTATGTTTAGAGAATAAAAGGTTCCTTTTTTATACTGATACATTCAGCCAATTTTAATTTAATCATGACACTAATAGAAATAAGAAACTGCAAACAAAACCTTTCGTGCCAGGCTTTTCAAGGGCCCCCCCTCCATTAGGGCCCTGGGTAATCAGTCCCACTTTTCCCCCCTGTGTGACACCCCTGTGCACCCCTTAAAGGAAAATGCTTTAATTCTAGTGAACCTTACAGGGATGCTCTTTGTGTATGAAACATTAGTGTGTTGTGTACATTCCAGAAATGCTAGTATTACATCATACTGATGGCCATAGTCAAATCCCCCATCCGGCGTATCTTGCATTAGCCTGTAGCAGCCATATTCATCTGCTTTTTCCCCAAATGATGCAAAAAGAAAAGTAAAGGGTTGTTGCAAATGTCACAACATCCATGGAGGGTTGCTTGACTATGTCTTGCTTTGACAGAAAGCAAAACTAACTTCCTTGATGAAAAACAAAACCATAAAGATAGCAGTATATATGGTCCAATATGTACAATAAAAAATGTATGTGCACATTCATTTTCATTCATTTTCTGTAACAGTAATCACTGTCTTGCTGACTAACTAATGTACTAACCAGCCTTCTTGTGGCACCAGCAGATGACTGTGCACGTGTGACATTCCTATGAACATCATATCATCAACCCAATTTTTATTTCAAACAAAATGTAATGTCTGTCCAACATTAGAGTCCCATGTCTTTCTGACTTCATATTGACATCCAGTGTCAGCTGGAAAGCACAGCAGAAATTTCAGATAGGTCGGACCACCATGTTTAATTATACCTTTAGACATTACAGTTACAGCTGAAAATTACAACAGAAGTAAACAAGTCAGCCAAATTCATATATCACCGCGATTGAAATCAAGTACCAGTTGTCTACCTGGAAGTGACTGTTGTTGTTAGTGTGACGTCACACACAGTACATTTACATGACATGAAAATCGATTCATTGTGTTAGTCTGACTAAAACCGGACTTTTAAAATACATGTAAACATGTTAGTCCGACTGAAATTGTACAAAATCGAACTTCTCAAAGTCAGACTAACACACCCAGAAAATGCGATTGGGAGTTGAATTACTCCTGAATCTATACAGTCAATCAGACCCAAACTGGACTAGGTGCTCTGCACATCCTCCACAGTTTCCACCCCGGGCTTTGACCCAGAAGTTGAATAGCATTAAATGCGTAATAGAAGAAGTAGCTGGAAACAACATGGTGAAATCTACATCCAGAGCTGTGCATTTTTGGACGTATGAAATGTACAGAGCTGTAAAGTTGTCCACCATGGTTGTCCACCAGTTTGCAGCTAGCTAACTGTAGCTAACTTTTTGTTTGTTGATTGCTTGGTTTGTAACGTTTTAGTAAAAAGGCCCAATACTAACAAGCTGAAAGGGGGCATATCGCAACCTATCAGAGTCGGACATACACAATGCTTCCCTCCATTGGCTCCCTGTACATTTTAGAATTGATTTTAAGATTTTACTGATAACTTTAAAGCACGTCTGGGTCTGGCCCCAAGGTACATTACTGATATGCTGAACCCCTATGAACCAGTGCGCAGGCTTAGATCCTCAGGTGGGGCCCTTCTGATCGTTCCAAAGTCGAGGCTTAAAACCAAAGGCAACCGAGCTTTTGCCATCAGGGCCCCTCGGCTTTGGAATGACCTGCCTAAGGAGATAAGGCTAGCAGAATCAGTATGTTCTTTTAAATCACTTCTTAAAACGCATTTTTATAGACTTGCTTTTATGTGATGTCGTCTCTCTTCTTTTATTATTTATTTTTATTCTTGTTTTTATTTGCTTTATTTATTTTGTTGTTTTTATGGTTTCATTGGTATTTACTGTTGTTGTTTTCCCTGCTGTTGCTACTCTGTCTGCCTTTGCTATATTTTCTGTCGTTGCTGTACTGGCTGCTATGTTTTCTTTGAATGCTGCTGCTATTTTTGTCTTCTTTTCTTTGTTTAATTATTGTTGTTGATCATTCTGGTTTTGCTTTGTTTGTCAAAGCACTTTGTAAACGCTGTTTTTAAAAGGTGCTATATAAATATTAAATATTATTATTATAAATATTATACCTTGGTCAATAAATCGATTCCCCTCCCATGCTTGTATACTGGGACAAGGACAGTAGTCCAATTAAATGGCCTAGTTGAGCTATAATAGTAGCCCAACTCAACTGTGCATGTAAAACCTACTAAGTCATTTGGTCCATATAGTCAAGTAAACTGGATCTTGTTGATGGTGGCAACAGCCAGCATACAGAATTATAGGCTATAGATGCACAAATGGAAGGTTGAAGGCTCAGATTCAGTCCAACAGAACTGTCCATGAAGTTTAATGTAATCATGTCATGCAGTGGTAAAAAGTGAGACACCTGAGCATGCTGAGATGGAGACGTCCTGCAGTCCTGAGTCTTTTGTCAACAGTTTCCTTGTTGATAAGTAACTTAATAACAATGCAAGTAACAGTTGAGCATCGGCGCTATGAGAAGATATTCTTCCTTCCTTCCTTCTATCCTTTCTTTCTTTATTTATTTCTTTGTGTCTAATGTCCTCTTGGTTGCGTGCCAGGCTGGCAAATGATGTTGTTATGGCCTGAGGCAGTCCCAAACAGGTACACACAGTCTGGCAGCGTTTCACAGCCCACAACATTTACATCTGCGTACAAATTAGCTCCTCATAACAGAATGTACATGAATTATTGCTGTGTTCAGTCTGTCGGGAGTCTTGGCTCTTATGTGTTACTGTGGCACACTAGTATAATACCTGGGATCCTTCATGGGTGTAATTGTGGCAGTCATCTGAAGTGCCAGTCAAGAAGTGAACTGGCTGCTCACTGCTTAGACAGGTACACAGTTAAGATGTGTGCAACTTGTATAACTTGGATAAAGATAACACATGCAAATCTACAAGGGTGAAGTGCATGTTTTTTTGTGCCTTCACATTAAGAAAGCATCAGTGCCCACTTGTGATCCACACATCCTGAAAGCTTGTGCTGAATGTGGTTGCTTGTCTTGTAGATTTATGGCTACACAGCATGATGCTTGCAGTGGTTATTTGCATGGTAGGACATAATTTGATAATTATGAAGTGGGCCTTTATACAAAGTCTAACCTTACAGTTACAGTATGATAGAAGGGACAGTAGTGTTATATTTTGGTTGGTGTTTCTGAGCAGTCAGGATGTACATTTTTGAGCTGATATCATTTAAATTCTGTTCTTCAATTGAAACTAAACTCAGCATATTTTATAATGTGATTGGTTGCAATTTGAGCTTGTGATCAGTAAAGGTATCAGGGAACTTTCCACTACTCTTCTTCCTGTTCTCACAGTTCTGTATTATAAAAATAAGTTACTTAAATATAGGTCTAAAGGTAACTGTCACTTTGATCCAATATAGAGACCGAGGCTGAAAGGTAATACTGCTCTCTTGCCGCGTTCTGCATGATGTGGTTAGTTAGAACTGCATGCTGTCCTCTTTTAGATGTTAACAGTGCTCTTGAATAGTACAGAGATTATTTTAAATATATGTAAATTTTGAAAGAGGGAGTAATACATGCTGCTGTTCTGCTCCAATTATATAACATTCTAACATTGCATATTAAAAAAATACACGATCCCTGCAGTTAGAGGAAACTGAAAAAATGTTCGCATTGTATGTTTCTGTAAAACATGGTTACAGTATGCTACGTTTGTCAAAAATGATGTGGTAAATGTAGGGTTAGGATCATGTTTGTCACAATGTCGCTGCAAAGGCAGGGACAGTTTGTGATCAGTGGCTGAAACGCTGCTGGAAAAATGAAACTAATTGCAAGGAGAATGTATTTTCAGAGAAACAGGACTTAGTTTTAGGATAACAGGCTGTCAGGGAAATGGGCTTTC